TTCGTGTTCATTTAGCAAGATGCGCATCTAGACTATTGCCACATCACTTTCCGCGTCAAAGACGTCAACCTATCTGCCCGCGGATTCCGAAACGAACCAGCCCAAATGACACGATATCGAGCGCGTCCCACACCACCCTTTTACGTCCGCGACTTTTGTCTGCTCGTCGGAGCTCCTACTTGCATCACTCTACTATGTCTTCACGACCTCACTGTACGTGACAAATGGCTTATCGTTTCGCTCTTCCCGACATTAACGAATGTAACTTCGAAGCAGACGGCTCGCTTCAATACGGCTCGAACTTCCTCGCGATGTTGCTGTGTACGCTCCTTCTATTTAACTGTGTTTCTCGTGAATTGACTGTGAGCCTTGAGCTCCGACATAGTAATGCATCACTACCCGGAGTGGTGGTTAATGCTAGGCTCTCGATGGCTCCGACATACCTAGGTATTGAATGTCGTGTGATGTACATGATTCTGCGTACTAAGCTCTATCCTTCCAATGTCCCTTCTCATATTGCCGTTTTCTTCGTGTAAGGCTTGTCAGTGTAGTTTGACTGCGCTGGGGTTGTAGGTATAATGCTGGCATCTCCAAAGAAGGTGTGCACAAGTCCACTCTTTTGGTATATTCAGAACTACTTAGGTAGCCTCCTGCAACCTGTGAAAAGACAACGGTATTCTGTCGCTGTGGTGATTTAGTTTTATGGGTATCTTTCGGCTACCATGGCGTAAGTGATGGCGTTATGATTTTTTGAGTTTCTATCATGCGCGGTTTTAGTGCTGCAATATCCCACAACCCGAACACAATATTGGAACATTCAAAAACCCGACGGCCACATGGACCCAAAGTCCCCAATAACTACAGCTTAGCATGAACGAGAGCTATGTCCTTTAATATGAAAGATGAATTTGTAGGAGCACAAGAACCGGCCCTAGTCGTAGAAGTTATTGTAGGTAATTTCTCTACTAGCAGGATCATGCAGCGTGCCCAGGTAAGACATCCGCGCATTGTAGGATACTCGGAAGACCATATATATAGATATGAGCCTATACTAAACATCAGTTCACGTCTGCCCTAGGACATGTCCCACGAGTGGCCAATGTCGGCTTTCCGTATGTTGGCTGCTGGCAATCAGTGTTGGACTGTCCCACACTGTCCAGCCAAGAGCCGCGAAACAACGCCGCGTTCGCATGCCAGCCACAACGCGTTGTATATAGGTTGGATGGATCTGCTACCCAGAGAAACGGCCTTTGGGTATGCGCTTTACGTTCTCAAGGCACTCAATTAGGCTGTAACAAGAGAGGTTGTGCGGAAGAGGATTGTAGCGATAGAATTGTACGCGTGATCACCCCGCCTGACACACTGCAACACGTCATCAATTCAACACCATGCTGGCCGGCACGCTCGAGGGAATGCTCTGAAAATCTATGTACGCGTTGCGCAATACACAAAGACAAGGAAGATGTCTTTGCTTTGCCAATTTGTACGCGTGGAGGCGGGTCGTGTTCGAGGTGTCGGCGCGCAGAGCGAAACACCATGGAAGGTAGATGACGCGACGCATGTATCGCCAAAACCACAACCATCAAGACTAGACTCGAGTCCCGAGAGCCTATCAAGCCAACATAAATCATGGAGTATTCCATCGAGTACAAGACTGGCATAGAAAAAAAGCAAACAGTAAGCATGTAGCAACGCGTCTCGTCAATAGGCTTCGAGGATTCGAGCGGAAGCTTGCGCAAAATCGATTCCTTCAGGACGCAAGCTGCAGCTATCGTGGATTGACAGAGATGACTCAGACGAAACAACAAGCAGGGACTATTGGCACGACTGAAGCTCGAGGCCAAAGGTGCCTGCGGTCAGGCTCCTGGCATGCGTTGGCCATGGTCAAGCGTCACCAAGTTGAAAAGAGCGACTCGAAGGAGAGGAGATGGGGTGAAGGGCTGCGCTTCCAGCAGGGAGACAGGAAAGACCCCCAACAAATCGAACGGACAGCAGCCGCACGGCGCCTAGTCAGCGTAGGCGGCAGTATTGCAACATGAGATCAAACTGAAGCGCATCTTGATCAGGCCTGGAAGATTAGCGCCTTCGAGTTGGTGATCTGGGGGCGCCGATTCTGATCCCTGAAAAGTATAAGAACGGCGCATACCCCACCCGCCGCGTGCTTGCCCCAACTCAGCGACTTCCAGACTTCCCACCACCACCATTCTTCCATCGATTTTCACGTTCGCCCTCTCGTTCGAAGCATCAGTAACGCGTCTATCTTCCCATCCAAACCACTAGCAACAATGCCTCCCAAGAAGAACACCACCCCTTCCAAGGCCAAGGCCGCCGCTGCCGCACCTGCCCATGGCTCCTACATCGGTATGTACTATGATATCTCAGCCCAACGCGGTCGCGTTGGTTGCCCGATAGTCGCGTCTTTGTCGCCGGTCAATGCTGACTCTTTTAGACATGGTCAAAGATGCTATCATCAACGTGAGTCTATCCCAGGCGTGTTGCCCTGCACATGAGTTTGCGACAGCTTGCGACAGCTCGCAACGCCAACTTCAGCGCGAATCACAATAACGCTCCATGACATTACTCCCCCAAGTGAACATGATTACTGACGAGCTCTATGCATGCTACAGCTCAAGGAACGAAATGGATCAAGGTTAGTAAAATTAATCCCCACATGCCGTCGCTCATATGTTGCGGCATGCTTTCGTCTGAAAGCGCGCGTACCTCAGAACTCACGCTGATTTTGCGCCAACAGCCGTCAAGCTATCCAGAAGTACATCCAAGCCAACAACAAGGTCGGCAACCTTAGCGATGCTGCCTTCAGGAGTCACGTCAACCGTGCTATTACTTCCGGCGAGGAGAAGGGTGACTTTGCGCGTCCCAAGGGTAAGTGCCTCTCCACCAAGTCTGCGCGACGACACATCTTCAACACGTCGCTACTGTGTATCCTACACGCACGTATCATGAGTCATCTGAACCTTACTGACGCGTCATGTAGGCACGTCTGGACCAGTAAAGCTTGCGAAGAAGGAGGCCAAGCCTGCCGCTGCCACCGCTACCAAGAAGTCTGAGCCCAAGGCCGAGAAGAAGGTCACTGAGAAGAAGACCGTCGAGAAGAAGACTACTGAGAAGAAGGCCCCCGCCACCAAGAAGGCCACGACCACTGTAAGTAACTGCCTGCTGTCATGAGCCTACATGTCTGACTTCCTCTACAGAAGGCCAAGGCCACCACCACCAAGGCTGCTGCTCCCAAGAAGGCTGTCGGCCGCCCGAAGAAGGCCACTGCCACAGCTGCTGCTACCAAGGCTGCCCCTGCCGCTAAGCCCAAGGCCAACGCCAGCAAACCCCGCAAGACTGCCCCCACCGCAGCCCCCGCCGTCGAGGAGGAGGTATCGCGCGTGCTCGGAAAGACCAAGTCTGGCCGCGTCACCAAGACCAAGGCTCCCGCCGCTGCAACCAAGGCAACCAAGAAGGCACCAGCAGCAAAGAAGACCGCCGCAGCGAAGAAGGCCACCACACCCAAGAAGAAGGCGACGCCCAAGAAGGCAACACCAAAGGCCAAGGCATGAGTTGTTTCAGCTTAAGCTTCTTTGTTCTTGTTGACCTTTTTTATTTTACCATGCTACCGTGCGTTAGCTTCGGAGCGTACGCTAGACGACATCTTCTTCACGTATTCCCTTTGTCACACTACTAGTCTATGGGTTTTACAGGTGGGCGTGGTTCGGCCACCGGCGGATATGGCGAGGCAGGCCTACAGTGTTCGTCCCTGATTTTCTTACCTGGGATATATCATGTTGGCCGGGCGTTCTGGCGCGTGTCTGTCTTTGCGGATGGATGTCTACTCTACTGTCATTGTTCTCTTCAGCGTCGCAATCTGGCGTTATGGGAGGCTAGCTACGACGTGATGCTATCGTCTCAAGCAATTCAAATCAACACATACTTCAAACGTTACGCGTCTCTGAACTCGATGAATGTGACGCGTTGTTTTGATCTGACGCGTGAATCTTGCGAGTCATGTGAGGGGTATGGTGGGTCTCTGATAAGATAACCGGCTCTGCCCGATCTTCTCATCCTTTCCGGGTGCCGGCTACCGGGCAAATGCGACCTCCTGCGCCGCTCCAAAAGGGCTCCGGTCATGTCTCATGTCTTCCGAAGGTGCCGGTGATATTACTGTGAGCATCCCAAAAAGAAGACGAGCGACTTGGCACACCTCCACGACATTCACTTCTCTATCATTCAATTTGAATACAAATGTTGGCATGCTTTCTTACAACGGGGTGAACGCGGTTTCCAGGGTTGTGCCTTCCACGTGCGTTAGGAGAAACCGAGAAAGAGCTCGTCACGCCTGCCACTGCGAGCGATATGGCGTTGGAATTGGCGGAGACGAAGATGCTGTCGCATGATCGCGTAGTGGAGGCATCGACCGGTTATAACGAAATACCTGCTGTCTTGTACACGCGAGGTGCACCTTGTAAACTTCTAGCGACACCTGGTGGGAGCTGACGATAATAGTCTCACATGTCGGTGGAGTATTACATAGTATGTACACTCTAAAGTGTGTACTGCGCCACTCAAGCCGCTGCATTTCATGGCTTCGCAGACACGCAGTCGATGCTGGGTCCGCGGGAATGGGTTGCTCGTTGTCATCTGTCGCACCTTCCCACTCACTCTCAACTTCACCCTAGCGTCGCGCACAGGCTACAACCATGACTGAATCTTTCCGCCTGAGTTTCGACGTCTTACTTTCAAGCTAAACATCACCAACCGGAGTGGTCCGCCCCGCCATGTCGAGCCCGAAGACTGCTCAAGGTAGCAAGTCAAGCCCCATCAGGTATTATGAAGCCGCCAAAATATCACACAAACCATTGCGAAACTAACACTGTACTCAAAGCTTCACGTCTTCTTCATTGGTCACCATACGCGTGGGAACTGCTCCGACTATCGAAAGTTTCGTCGCGCATGAAACTTTCCTCACTTCTCGCTCGGAATTTTTCCGACGCGCGATGAACGGCAACTGGGAAGAGTCAAAAACGAGGATCATCAACCTTCCCGACGATCATCCTGGCACTTTCGCTCTCTACATTAGCTTCATCTACACTGGACAGCGGCCCGTCACGGACAAGACCGCGCAAGAGCTAAAGATGCTCTCAGAAGACGAGTTTTCGAAACTCACGACAGCTCAATACAAGGCTGTCTTCAATGTTCTCATCCTTGCTGAGAAGCTGCAAGACCTGAAGATTAAGAATGCCATGATGGAAGCTGCAGTAGCTACAGCCCTACTGAGAGGTCCCGATGGTGACTGGTTCGTCCCATCATCGTGTGTGATCAACAATATCTATAGGGGCACACCGCCAAAGAGTCCCGCTAGACGTTTTGTTACCGACGCGTGGATCGGCTGCTCGATCAGCGAGAATTTCGCGATCATCAGCCGACTCAACAAAGATTTCGTGGAAGACCTAGGTAAAGGTATCGACAAGCATTGGGTTCCAGTCAGGATGCAAGCGACTTTCCAGTCAACAATCTGGAATGCTGCAGCGTACCAAGAGAAGTCAAATGAGGACTAATGCGCACTGCTATCTTTGCCCAAATACTTCGGTCTCTTGGAAGCGCAGAATATGCGATCTGCTGGTGGGATAAGTCCCTGTTCTGGTCTCCACCTAGGTAGCAGACGCGAACTGGGTATAACCTTGGCAATGTCGGAAAGGCCGTACTCGATGGAGCGGAATTACGAAATCTTACCGTGCAAGGGTTTCTCATAATCATGCAGACATTAGCACACATATCCACAAGATATGATCGACATGAAGTATCTTATTCAGTCTAATTGCATGATTCAAGATCGGGTTATATTATTAGCCAAAGGCGCATACGCCCCCTTGTAGGTAATCTTGTTTTGTGCTACGCAAGCGGGGACCGATGGGAAGAGCAGACGACTAGATCGTGTTCGAAGAAGTTGAAGCTTCACATAGAAGATTTCGTCGGTTGTAGCGTTTGGCAGATGTGCCGGCCCGGGATGGGGGATGGCGTTCATACCCTGCCCAGGCGATGTCTGTCGAAGTGCTACAGACAGCACCTACAGCGCGGTTTACGCGACACATCCACAGCGCACGGCGCCTCGCTAGGTGAACTGCCTTCTAAGGCCATCAGCAAGCTCTCCAAGACTCTCGATATACTGCTCTCGTTACAGTTTCAAAGGATTGTTCCCATGTACAGTGAGTCTTCTAATGTTTGTTGGCTTTGTACATAGGAGTGGGATCGAGGTGCGCCCCGCAAATTCAGGCCCAGCACGCTAGCGGGCGCTAGGAATACTTGCGCGCAGGAGCTGCTCGACCTTTAACTGAAGTGCCCGCGGAGGCAGAAAAGCGGTTTAAAGATACCTGCTTCCGGCTACATTTCTATGAGAAGCACATCCACGTGCATAGCCCGCATGCACGTCGCCCTTCGCAATTCGACATGCGCATAGTCCATGCACACCACCTGTCCGGCACAGCGCGCCGTTGTCGAGAAGCCCTTCCGCCGTTGCTTCTTGTTGGACCGTTGCCCACTAGTCGCCACTCCGAATCGCTCAACTTTCAAGTTGTCTCTGATCATGGAATAGACATAAAGAGTTTGATGATGCTAGTGGCCCGCGGGTCGATTATTGACATCCGTTGTTGGGTGATACCAGGAGGCGTCGTAAAGTAGCATCGCTTCACGGGATCCGTGAACGCCTTCGAGAGCGGGGTGCCACTGCGATGTTATTTAGGAAGGTATCCGATAGCACGCCTGAGGGATACCGGCCGTTCTTTGCTTATTCGCTCATTTCATCTCCGGTCTCTACAGTCTGTGGCTGCTTACCTGCGACAGGGTTCTCCAGATCCGCCGCACGGCTGTGGCTAGCTAAAAGGTAAGGTGACAACAAAGCGAGACGCGCCACCAGTATTTCTGATTATCCCAATTTCCTGGATAAACACACTTGGGGAGTGAGTGTGATCCTTTCAGTTGCCTTTGATGTTCCGAAAGCTGACCTATCGGCGGCAGGACAGGCATGCGATATGTACGAGGCACACCAACTTTCGGGCACGTCCTGTTCATTGGTGACCTTTGAATCGTTACCATTCCTTCGTCTACGCGAACGAATCAACATGCTCATGCATATGCTCGAGGATGTTCTCGACCCATCACAAGGGGTCACCGTTGAAATGGGACACGTCTGCTACGCCTGGATACTTACCAAAACGTCTGTGATGGACATTAACATGCCCGGAGTCGCGTAAGCGATATAGTATAGATCGCCGCCTGTTGGACAAAGGATAAAGAGACGATCAGGTGTCGACGCGCAATGGCTTCGCCGACAAACCACAGCCATCACAAGGACAAGTTGATTCGATGTACACAACAGTTTACTGCTCGTACTGTTCGTGGAGACCAACGGGGTGTATCGGGCACCAGATATTACCCCAGATCGATGGAACGATGAGAATTCTTGGCCGAACAGGCGTCCACTAGTGCTCATTCACATGCATTTCGCACTCTGTTCCTTCCCCATGTAAGTGATAGCCAACGTCTACTGGGATGAATATGCAGGGCTTGACCGCCAAGACGGGCTTCACAGCGAGCTTGAGTGAGCTTGGTCCCCAGGTTTTGGCGCCTCTACCAGGCGATCTATATCCGGGGTCAACTGCTTTGCTGCCTGAACTAGCGACATATCCGGTCATTTACATCGGATCGATAGTTGTCTAGAGCTTGAGCGCAGCTGTCTTTGCGGACATTCTGAAATAGCGTGGGCTGATCGATGACAGGTCACACGGTCGCATGCCAACAGTACATGCGGACATACACATTCTCGCTAGCCGTTGGCACATACCAACCGCCCATGGAGAATGGTACCAATCCTTCCAGAAGTGTCAAGTGCGGAGTAGTCACCTGGTCAGGCCTAGTGTAAGAAATTGCAATGCTACCATAGAAAGCCACACACGCACCACACTGCAGCATCACCGCTGTTCAGGATGCGATATTAAAAGCTGGGGTATCCCACTGTCGATTGCGCCCGCAGCCTTCTCTAACTTCTGCTTCCTCAACGCTGCGCAAAGCGCCTTTCATCATAACTACCTCTTATTCCAGCAATTTTGGAATAAACAGCGACAATGCCAGGAGGTGGTGTTACCCTCACTGGGACGCATGACCTCAACCGGGTCGAGGCTCCTGTCACCGTTCGAGCCTATCTGATCGTCGCATTCGCTGCGTTCGGAGGAATATTCTTTGGATATGACACTGGCTGGATGGGTGGAGTCCTCAACATGGACTACTTCATAAAGCAATACACTGGAGCTGAATACCCCGACGTCGTATATCCGGGCCTTGACTCCACCAGCCAGACCATCAAAGACTATCGCAACTCTACATTCGTGGTCGTACCATGGCAGCAATCGCTCGTCACATCCATCCTCTCTGCCGGGTATGTGAGAAAAGACCAATAGTGTTATCAGTGAATACTAACAGAACACAGTACCTTCTTCGGCGCCATCATGGCTGGTGATATTGCTGACTTTATCGGACGTCGTTTCACAATCATCATGGGATGTGGTATCTTCATTGTCGGAGGTATCCTTGAGACAGCCTCTACCGGGCTTGGTGTCATGGTTGCTGGTCGACTTATCGCCGGTTTCGGTGTGGGTTTCATCTCATCCATTGTCATTCTCTATATGTCTGAGATTGCACCCAAGAAGGTCCGCGGTGCTGTAGTCGCTGGTAAGTACTATCCACATGGCCTGCATGTATACACCCTGACTTTGATAGGCTACCAGTTCTGCATTACCATCGGTATCTTACTCGCCAACTGCGTTGTATATGCCACTCAGAACAGACGCGATACTGGCTCCTATCGAATTCCAATCGCTGTACAGTTCCTGTGGGCTATCATTCTCGCCATCGGTCTCGCTCTCCTCCCTGAGTCCCCTCGCTACTGGGTCAAGAAGGGCAAGCTCGATAAGGCTGCCGCCGCACTTGGCCGTGTCCGTGGCCAACCTCTTGACTCCGAATATATCCAGGATGAACTAGCTGAGATTCTTGCTAATCACGAATACGAAATGTCGGTTGTTCCCCAGGGTAGCTATCTCGGCTCATGGATGGCTTGTTTCAAAGGAAAGCTCTCTCAGCCTTCGTCCAACGCCCGTCGCACTACAATCGGCATCTTCATGCAGGCTATGCAGCAGCTGACTGGTATCAACTTCATCTTCTACTTCGGCCCGGTCTTCTTCCAGCAGCTCGGCTCCATCAGCAACCCCTTCCTCATCTCTCTTGTCACAACTCTTGTCAACGTCCTGTCCACCCCGGCCTCGTTCGTCATGGTCGAGAAGATTGGAAGACGCCCTCTCCTTGTTTTCGGAGCTGCTGGCATGGTTATCATGCAGTTCATCGTCGGAGCTATCGGAGCCACCGCTGGCAGAAAAACTGCCGACCATCCTGCCAATCCCAATGCCACGAGAGCCATGATCGCATTCATTTGCTTGAACATCTCCGTCTTCGCTACCACCTGGGGACCGTGCGCCTGGATCGTGATCGGCGAGATCTTTCCTTTGACTATTCGATCTCGTGGCGTTGGTCTGTCCACGGCTAGCAACTGGTTCTGGAACTGCATCATCGGTATCATCACCCCCTACCTAGTTGCCGACCGCGATGACTCTGCTCGTATGGGATCAAATGTCTTCTTCCTGTGGGGCTCGCTCTGCTGCGTTTCATGTAAGTTTCCCATATTCTTTGCAGCCACATGGAGCATTTTGCTAATCCGTAAACAGTCTTTTTCGCCTACTTCTTTGTTCCCGAAACTAAAGGTCTTACGCTCGAGCAAGTCGACAAGATGTTGGAGGAGAGCACCCCTCGCACCTCCCGTAATTGGAAGCCCCACAGCACCTTTGCCGGCGACATGAACCTCGCTGATAAGCATATCGAGATTCCTCTCGAGAACCTCACTACTAAGCACGAAACCTCTACAGTCTAGTTATCTGAGTAGAACGATGTGTAAGAAGGGAATACTCAACGTATGGAATTGCCGATGTCACTAGATGTTACTGCAATGCATAGACCCGCTACCTCGCACTCCATGCTGTGGAGTTACAAATTTAGTGGAATAACATACCTTAACCTTTGTCACTGGGTTTCAGTCCGCGTTCCACACTGTGATCGCTGCAAAGCGTACGCGAGACTCAATCCAGAGTGCACGTTATGGCAGCTGCTTCACCACCTGAGATCTCCAGCTATATGCGTGCTTCCAGCAGTCTGGGAATTTGACTCGAACCACAAGCTGTGACTGCTACGTGGCGCGTCAAGTGTCCGCTTGCGCAATGATCTAAAACCCATTGCCGCATTCTGTTCTCCTCGGCTCTAGATAGGGACCCCGATGTTCGCTATGTAGCACGAGGCTAACGGACTGACAGCGGAGGCGCGTGTTCTTGCGTTCGATTAGCCGGCACGGTGTTTGCGACATCATTTGAGTAGGTGGTACGAGGTTGATGGGTCGCATGCTGTATTAGGGAAATGGCTTGCATGAGAAGTCGGAGCTAAGGGTTGGAGCTCTGTCAGTGTG